CCGTAGCATGTGATGTTCTTACCTGCTGCTTGTCCTCTAAGGACGCAGCTTCCAGCTCATAGTCAGACCGATCTCTAAACGAAATCGAGAACCTGGTACCTGGTGCATCATGGCAGTTTTTCACCTCAGAAAAACAGAGCTGCCGTTTCACAATGCCTTTCTCAATGCTGCACAAAAGGCTTGTGCTGAAATCAATCTGATGCAAAAAGGTGTGCATTTGTTATATGTGGTTTCTAAAGACCAGAGCTGTATAAAAGCAGTTCAGTGTGTAGATACACACCTGCAACACCCGTTTCTGCCATATGTAGCGGTTGAACTTACGAACACTGAAGTTGTACTGTGACTGTTTTTCCTGCAACAGAGATATCAATGATAATGTCAAACAAAGAGTTCAAGAAATAACTAATAATACTTCCTCTTTGCAAAATGTCACTTTACAAAACTCGACTAGGACTGATTACAACCACAGAGAGCCGCTCATAATATTAGGGCTAGTACCACGAAGACTGGTTGAACAACAAATCATTTCCTTAAAAAGAACTGTCAAAACATTTCAAAGCTCTTAAGAAAAATATGTGACTAATTCAGTCCAGCTGTGCTCTGAATGACTTACACACCCATTTTGCTGACCTATTTTATGATAAAAAAAAAAATTTTACTCAAAACAAAGGCATATTTAAAACGTTGATAAGATCTTCAAATCTTCATTTAACATGAAGGTCAGGAGTTTTAAACATAGCCCATACTGCACCTCCAGCTCAAAGTTCCTCTGCTTGTGCAATGTGCCATTGTTAGCCCGAATCAGAGCTTCATCGATACTCATTTTGCCTGATTTCACCCAGTTCATGACATTCAGCTGCATTTCGTTGCTAAGCTGTAGAAACAATGAGAGGTTAAGTCAAGAGCTGTGATTATTCTTAAGACAAGCACATGCAGTCTCCATGCAACATTGTTTGGTAACAATTAACTCGCTTACAACAAACTGTTGAAATGAGGAAGTTTAACTTTTTTTATGATAGTTCACATCAGAATGATTTGTGGACACCAATTTATATGACACGTGGTTGCGCTTCTTGTAAATTTGAACTTTTTATTACACATTATAGAGACAGACAATGTTTTTTTTTTCTTTTGTTTAATGTCATCAGCTGTCAATCAGTGAGGGAGATTAAACGCACTCATTTGTTCATGAAAGTGAGAACACAGCTTATTTGTAACAAATTCACACCATTACATTCATTTACAGCCCTTTCAAATGTTTTTGACATTTGATACCCATTTTGTGTATTTAAATAAACAGTTTATTTAAAAGATTATCTGTTCTATTTCAACAAAGTTGTAGTTAAACAGTTTTTTTTCACTGAATACTTGCTAAATAAACCTGTTATTTTGAAAGAAAAAAAAGCCAAGAAAAGGTCCTTACCTGAGGAACATGCACTGTCTTTCTGTAATTCATGCTTCTTCATTGGACTTCAGGAGATCAAAACATTTCAGATCACCCATCAAGTGTTGTCAAATAGTAAACTGACTGAGGATTGCAGACATCTGAAAAGGGATGCGTGTTTATGTGAGAGAAAACTAGGTATGCTTGTATGGCATGCAGATTTATTACTAGGTAACTTCCTTATATGCGGCTTACCTGAAGGAAAAAAAACAAAACAGAAAAAGATGAAGTCATACACCTCCACCCTTTATCTGACTTCTCATCTTTCTGTGGGACACGCAATGTCCGTCCCTCAGCTGCAGAGTCAGAGTCATTCTCTGCTGTTGTCTCCATATATAGTTGGTTGTACTCTCAAATTTGACGAGTAAAATAAAACATGGATATCGGAATATGTCTCAAATTTGTAACACAATTCAACCGTTAGATTGTCGTACAGCTGACACAAACTAATCACTACGGCGCTGCAGTCAATTACACTTTAAAGGGGTCCACTGGATGCAACAAATGCCTCGTTTATAATGGGTTTTAATGTTTATGTCTGTAGCTCCGGCCGGACAGGGCATCACAGTATGGTGAGGGGCGTAACATTTCCGTCTCACGCTTGAGGTATTCGGCCAATCACAACGCACTGGATAGCTGGCCAATCACAGCACACCTCGCTTTTCAGACCGATGAGCTTTGTAAAAATCGACACGCTTCAGAAAGGCGGGGCATAGAGGAGAAACAATAATGTACAGTATGTGGAAAGTAATGTGTTTTTTTAACCTTAAACCGCATAAACACATTTCATTACATCAAATACACAAAATAATGTTCTTTTTAGCAACATCATATGACCCCTTTAAATAGGGTGGCTATATGTGCCATTTATAAGGGACACGTCCTGGACAGGATTTTTATATTGCCTAAAACATTCAAAGTAGTTTGACCAATAATGTGAAGGTATTGTACATAATCGACCAATCGTGGCGCGTCGCGCGTGAGAAGGTGAGAACGATCAAAGCGATGAAATACGTGCAAGAGTTTGTTCGTTCGTTCGACTTGAAGCTGCGCACCGATCATCGTAAGACACCAAAGTACCGCGAGAGCGATTTAAAAGCACAAGGAGCCGTCTGCTCTGCTCTCTATAGCTCTCGTGAAATAATGCCATACAAAGATCGATCTGCATAGTGCAAACAGCCAAAACCTGGATATTTTAGGTAATATAGAAATACTGGCAAGGGTACGTCCCCTAAAAATGGCCCGTATGGTCATCCTAACTTTAAGTAAAGTGCAAACTATAGTGTGATTATTAAAGTGGCATGATTCAAATCAGTTACTGCATTTAAACAATCAGCATGGTTTGACAGTTGGTGGTTGCCATTGACTTCCATAGTATTTTTTTGTCCTACTATGGAAGTCAATGGCAACCACCAACTGTTTGATTACCAGTAATCTTCAAAATAGCTTATTTTATGTTCGACTTAAGAAAGCAACTCATACAGGTTTGGAACGACATGAGGGTGCAGTACATGAAGACAGAATTTTCATTTTTGGGTGAACTGTCCCTTTAAATGGACTACTGTAATGTTTAGAGCATGGAAGCCCAACCTGTTAATGTAAAGACACAATTCAATTAAATAAAGAAATACTTAAAAAAAAACAAGTTGAAGTCAAGAACAGTGTCTCATAGATCCTTCCTGAGCCTAAATCCGTATATTTCTGTCTCACTCTGAATTTTTTTCTCACAGAAAAAAAAAGAAAAAACTTATTTTAACACAAAATTCAATCAGAATTGTGAAATCAGCGATTAAACGTCAGACAATTAAAAAAAACATGTAATAGCCTAATGCAAATAAAACTGTAAACAGACACAGGCTTGTCTTTCTTCAATGATTTTATCAGCGGGGTGAAGATCTGCAGCGCCTCTTACTGTTTAGACCGAGAAGAGACTCGGAACTAGATTTATTGCGGATGAATCTCACTTTCATTTCTGTAAAAAGATCTGCTTTGAGACATGCAAAGGGACTGTCCTGGCCTGGGTCACACCGTCCGGAGCGAAGAACACTAACTGTTATCTGTGAGTATTTTCTCTCTCTTTTTTTGTGATTTTACCTACGGTTTCCTAAATTCGATTTTTTAAAATAGTTTTTTTACCTGTTTATAAACGTCTTAAAAAGTTATTTTTTAATTAAATTGTTATATCATGAAAATTAACCAAAATGAGTACTCACATATCTTACCTCGACAAACCAACAGATTCTCCTCAGGCAGACGGTCAGAAAAAATAACCGTTGAAATTTAAAAATCTGAGATTCCCGCTTCAGGATCGTGACGGTTGTCCAGGCGATTTGTAGCTGTGCATCGAGAGATATAGCTTAACTCGATATTTGCCACTGTAATAAAAAGGAACAAAATAAAACGACATATCTTCCAGAAGTTTCTTTCACTATGATGGCTATGTTGCAGTGGATATTCATGAAAGTAGTGAAAGACTTTAGTGAAGGTTAATCTTAACCGAAGAAGAACCAAAGCCTCTATAAGCAGATATTCATTCAATGGAAACTAGTGATAGCAGCTGATATTCAGGTAAGCCATATGATGCAAATGTAAGCGCCCATATTCCAACTCTGAAATATCAGAATATTTCATATATGTTTGGTTGAGAAAGTAGTGAAAGACTTTAGTGAAGGTTAATCTTAACCGAAGAAGAACCAAAGCCTCTATAAGCAGATATTCATTCAATGGAAACTAGTGATAGCAGCTGATATTCAGGTAAGCCTTATGATGCAAATGTAAGCGCCAATTCCATCTCTGAAATATCAGAATATTTCATATATGTTTGGTTGTAAAGCAAATTTTCGAGATGTGTTGTGAATGAATGATTGAATGAAAAACAGTCCAGTAAAATTACAGTAAATTATAACTGGTGTTTATTTTGTGGCTAGAAATATATTGCGGGCCAACTGTTTTATAAATAACAATTTTACCGTTTTGCTGTGCTACCGTTCATTATGAAAATGTTGTTGCAAAGACCTATACAGTTTCTGAATTAAAGTTTTCTTATATAGGACAGAGATGACAATCAAGTACTTTGACATACGGTAAATTGCTGTTTCTAGGCACTGCAGTATTTCATTTTAAAACATCAAATGTATTTTTGTTTTGTTACCTTATCTATGACATGAATTTAAACACAAGCCCAGATATGACCGTGGTTCGACTTTTGTTTTTACGAAAAGGAAAATGTACAAGTTAACACACAAGTTAGACCAGTTTATTATAATGAATGATAAGTGTTGTTAGTAACTGTTGCCATACCTGCCGTATGTGGTATATTGTTACAAAGCTGTATATGCCCATATCCGCTTATTAGGTCGTGACGTAAGAAATGCTGTTTCCGGGTCCAAGCCTCAACTCACTTCACTTGAGAATCTCAACAGCCGTTTATGAGCACTGTTTATTCATATTAAACATTTAAAAACTTGCGGTGTGCACTACAGTCTTCGTGCTCATAAAGCGCCCAGACACAAATCATTTTTATATTTATTTATTTATATTTTCATTGTCTGGCTATCTGGGATTTAGGTATGGAGTTAAAGGTTAGGATTATAATTTGTTTGTTAGTTTTATATTACACTGTGAGTGTATATAAGCACCGTTTGTTGTTTTCTTGTGGCATCCCATAGAGCGTTTGGACCCGGAAGCGGTGACGTATATGACGTCTGACTTATTAACAAGTGGATAGCCAGGCAAAGCCCTGGCCATATCAGTAAACAGTATTAGCATTATCTACACCGTTCAATTCAGCATTGTAGAGGGTCTTGTTTGCCTTTTCAGCCATGGCATCCTCCAGTGGTCCTCTAAATGAGGAGCTCCAGTGCGCCATCTGTCTGGATGTGTTCAATGATCCAGTCACCACTCCATGTGGACACAACTTCTGCAGAACCTGCCTAAACAAATGCTGGAAAACCAATCCAGGCTGTTTCTGCCCAATCTGTAATGAAAAATTCAGCAAAAGACCTCATCTCAAGATTAATACAACACTCAGAGAGGTTGTGCAACACTTTAAGGAGAAGCTTGAGCTAGGAAGATCTGATGTGTTCTGTGACATCTGTGATGAAAGAAAGCAGAAAGCCCTTAAGTCCTGCTTGATGTGTCAAAGCTCTTACTGTGAAACTCACCTGAAACCACATCACAGAGTCCCGCGTCTAAAGAAACACACGCTGATCGATGCTGTGGAAAATCTGGAGCATTATATATGCCAGAAACACGAGAGACCATTGGAGTTGTTCTGCAGAGATGACCAGATGTGTGTGTGTCTGTCCTGCACCGAAGGAGACCACAGGAATCACATCACTGTTCCTATAGAGGAGGAGAGTCAAGAGAAGAAGGCAAGAAATACAAACACTATAAAAGACCCAATGAAATGCAATGTGTGTTGACAGATTGAAGATCTCACCCGTCTTTCATTCCATCTGCTAGAAGTTGATTTTGTCAGGTTTTTTCAAATACAAGTTACCCTTCGAACTGTCAGAAATGGATTAAAAGATACAAAAACACAATTTTGAATTCCTGGGGCCTTTAAATGTTTTTTTTTTAACCGCGTCTAAAGAAACACACGCTGATCGATGCTGTGGAAAATCTGGAGCATTATATATGCCAGAAACACGAGAGACCATTGGAGTTGTTCTGCAGAGATGACCAGATGTGTGTGTGTCTGTCCTGCACCGAAGGAGACCACAGGAATCACATCACTGTTCCTATAGAGGAGGAGAGTCAAGAGAAGAAGGCAAGAAATACAAACACTATAAAAGACCCAATGAAATGCAATGTGTGTTGACAGATTGAAGATCTCACCCGTCTTTCATTCCATCTGCTAGAAGTTGATTTTGTCAGGTTTTTTCAAATACAAGTTACCCTTCGAACTGTCAGAAATGGATTAAAAGATACAAAAACACAATTTTGAATTCCTGGGGCCTTTAAATGTTTTTTTTTTTTTTATCAATATTCAAAGCTAATTTGAGATAAATGCTTCTGTGTTTTTCTGTTTTGTAGAATCAGATCGTAAAGACACAGACATGTTTGCAGCAGATGATCCAGGACAGAATGAAGAAGATTCAAGAGATCCAGCACTCAGTAGAGCTGAGAAAGGTGAATAGAAGATAAAATAATGTAAAATTAATAGTGTTCTAACATTTCTATCTGCTTTATAATGGTTTTGAATGAACCCATATTTAAATAAACTTATTCAATTTAAATTAAATACAATTTAAATTCATATAGATGAATCTTATAATTGATCTCACAGAAAGAGAAATCAACCAGTGTTGAGCTCTTCAAAGATCTAAGCCGCTCCTTTGAGAAATGTCAGTCTGAGCTGCTGGAGAAAATGGAGAAGCAGCAGAAATCAACAGAGAAACAGGCCAAAGATCTCACTAAAGAGCTGCACCAGGAAATCTCTGAGCTAAAGAGGAGACACACGGAGCTGGAACAGCTCTCACAGACTGAGGATGATCTCCACCTCCTACAGGTCTGTGAACATCTCATTAATGATAAAGCATATGCGTTATAAAACGCTTTTCATGCTGATACATTTCTTCTATCTCCTGCTGTAGATTTACTCATCCATTTGCACTTCTATACGAACTAAAAACTGGACGGAGATCAGTACTGACTTTAATACGAATGTGTGCACTCTCAATAAAGCTCTAATTCAGCTGAAGGAATTAGAAATTGTACATAAAAATCTTGGTCAAACTGGTAAGTCAATATTAAATTCCGTGTATAAACTACATTTGTTCACGGGCTAAATGCAGCTGCAGCTCTATTGATGGCATGTGACATGCTTTTCAGAGGAAATAAATGTGGACACATTGATTAGTTTGTAAAATTAAAGTTTAGAGTAGAATTTAAAGTAAACACACTTACACATTGAAGTCAATGAATGAACATTTTAAAAAATACTTTCAATTTCAAATAAGAGTAAATGTTTTTGAATATAACCATAGCACCTTTTATCGTAAAATTATGTTTTAGCATACAACTGGTGATACAATTGCCCATTTATGGTGTAACAGTAAATAAACCATACTGATTTTCCACCAACAGTGACATAAATAGGCCAAGTGCAACTCTTGATTTTTTTTTCTTCATTTTTACAAACTGAGGGACAAGTCAGCATAATTGTCTGAGGTCAACGGATTCAGCAATATGTAATAGTTGTTGCTCAGTCTCATTGTCATTTGTGTCCACAGTGTTGAAGATGATGCAGCAGTATGCAGGTACAGTCTGTGAGCTGCACTTCTCTTATACACTTGCTTTGCATTTATAAACTAATTTTCTGAATGCTTCTTCATATTCTCTGATCTCTCTCTTAGTGGATGTGACTCTAGATCCCGATACAGCTTATCCTGAACTCATCTTGTCTAAGGATGGAAAACAAGTCCGTCATGGAAACATTAAGCAGAACCTTCCTAACTATCCAAAGAGATTTGATTCATGTTTAGATATTCTGGGAAAAGAGGCGTTCTCTTCAGGGAAATTTTATTTTGAGGTTCAGGTGAAGGGCAAGGCTGAGTGGGATTTAGGAGTGGCCAGAGAATCCATAAATAGGAAGGGGAAGGTCAGACTGAGTCCTGAGGATGGATGCTGGACTTTGGTTCTGAGAAATGAGAATCAGTATAAAGCTTGTGAAAATCCCTGTGTCTCTTTGTCTCAGAGAGAGACGCTTGAGAAGGTTGGTGTGTTTGTGGATTATAAGGAGGGTCTGGTCTCTTTTTATGACGTGGAGTCCAGCTCTCATATCTACTCTTTCACTGGTCAGTCTTTCACTGACAAACTCTATCCATTCCTCAGCCCATGTTATAATGATGAAGGTAAAAACTCAAGCCCACTGATCATTTCACCTGTCATTTCAAATAAATGAATATACATTCCAAACATGAAGCACTTGATCTGAAAGATTAAATATGCATATGTTGTTATTTAATTAAAGGACAAGAAAAAATAAATGTGCTTGCTAAATTCAAAGTAACAAGGCTTTGAATCTAATATCCATGATCAAGATTATACAACATTTCTAGCCAATCACATTAGATTTAAAACCCATGTGACTAATCTGGAGTCAGGTGAAAATGGCATGTCGTGTCATGTCAACGTCATGAAATGTAAAAAATTTGTGCTACTTGTTACATGTTCGTGCTGCTTGTTACATGTCCCAAATTAAGACTAGTGGATCATTGACGTACAGTGATGATGAGGTCTGGTGTATGCAGTCTGAGGTTGAACTGTGTGGCCAGAATCTGTTTGGTCTGATTGGGAGCGCCCTGGGTCCACCGGATAGTTCATGTACTCCTTATACTGCAGAGTCCAACGAAGAGACTTAGCTGAAGGGAGACAAGTAAACATGCCATTAATGACAATGAAAAAAAATAATAATAATAATCGTTGATCATTTTGCATAGCAGTGCCTGTTTTGATTTAAAGCAACAGCTTTGTTTGGAAGAAATTAAAACTAAACTAACTTTTCACTACATAACATTTTCCATTCTCGCTGCTCATAAGACTGACATATAGTAACCATTTGTCAAAAAAACTTTTCTCTTTTTAAATGTTGCACTATAAATATTTGTTCACCCCCTCACTTGCTTTCAGTCATCCTTCATTGCCATCACTTTCACTGCACATTTATATTCATGATGCAAACAACTACATTTTGAGCCATTGTCTTTTTGCAATTTCTCAAATGAATGGAAATTCAACCAATTCCTCAAACATTAGGTGCAATAGCTTGATTGTTTTGTGCTTTTTTCCCTCTAAAAAAACTAAATTTATGGAAAACAGATGCAACATAAGCTAATGAAGATCCATGAATCCCAGGCCTCATCACCAAGTGATTTTTGACAAATGCAGCAACCAATTCAGACATTTTGGGACATAATAACCAGAAAAAGAGTCTCTGGTGGGACTGTTTGATAGTCAAACTCCACTCACTCTTTTGCAGTTTGAGGTCGAGAGGAATCCAGTCCTTTTTCAAGGTGGCTTTTAGCACTCCAGTGAAGTACATGACCATCACTTCATACAACAGACTAGCCTTGCGCTGCTTTGATCTTTTGTTCTTCAAGACGGTGGAGAGTTACAAGGTCCATGACGATCTCAAGGTTCACGTCGGTGGGGGACAGATACAAAGTCTGCAATTTTAGGACAGTTCTAAATGCAGTTTATAACCCTGATTTTTGTGAATATGTATATTAATAAACATTAAAAGGTTAGTTCACCCAAAAATGAAAATTAGCCCATGAATTACTCACCCTCAAGTCATCCTAGGTGTATATGACTTTCTTCTTTCAGACGAATCCAGTCAGAGTTATATAAAAAATTGTCTTTGATCTTTCAAGCTGTTTAATGCCACTCAGAGAGTGTTGCATGCATCAGTCCAAAAGAGGTTAAATAAAAAATGCCCATCCATTAAAAAAAAAAGTCCCTCACACGGCCCCGGGGGGGTGTACAAAGTCCTCCTGTAGCGAATTGATGCTTTTTTGAAAGAAAAATATCCATATTCAAAACTTAATAATCACTTTAATGTAGCTCGCGCTCACTTTTGTACACTGGAAGCAGTTCCGGGCTGATGACGTATGAGGTCAGTGCTGCCCATGCGCCGGTGAGTCTTGTGAAAACCAACGTTTGTTAACAGGAGCAAAGGAAGCAAAGTTTCCTTACTTTAGCAAAGGAAAACCAGTCTAATTTTGGCTTATATCGAAATCCTCCGACATTCTTCTTTACAAATCCTTGTTTTGTACTTATAATAAGTGACCGTTGTTTTGTTTTCTGCGTTCGTCACTTCTGAGCGGCGCATGCGCAAAGCCAAACTCATACGTTATCCGCCCGGAACGTCTTCCATGTACAACAGTGAGCGCAAGCTAGATTAAATAGATTATTACGTTTTGAATATGGATATTTTTCTTACAAAAACGCACTGATTCGCTACAGGAGGCCTTTATTCACCCCCCGGAGTCGCGTGAGACACTTTTTTGTTATATATATATATAGATGGGCGCTTTTTATTTTACTTCTTTTGGACGGATGCATGCAACACCCGCTGAGTGGCATTAAACAGCTTGAAAGATCAAAGACAATTTTTTATATAAATCCCACTAGATTCGTCTGAAAGAAGAAAGTCATATACACCTAGGATGACTTGAGGGTGAGTAATTTATGGGCTAATTTTCATTTTTTGGGTGAACTGACCCTTTAAATAAGCATCAAATTAAATACACAAATTACATACAATTAAATAGTCTACAGTCCATGGCCCTGCAGAACTGTTATGATTAAACATTTAAAAAGTATTATAGCTGCAATTTCAAATAAAATCTGATTATTAAATTAGATAACAATGAATTTCATTAATGATTAGTTGGGTCTGTGTGCTGTGCACAAAGAGTTTTTGTTGAGCTTACTTTACAGTAAGAAAAACATTGTTTTTGATTAGAAGGCAGAGCATATATGTAGAGCAAGTGACTTTAAAAGCAATTCTGAAACTGTCTTTCTTGTATCAGATACAAGTTCTAAACCCAAAATCAGGTTTTACTGATCACAGTTTGACTTTTCTCCAGAGTGAATTCGTAGATGATGATCTTTGACGCTCTCTGCCCGTGTGAAACTCTTTCCACACTCGTGGCAGGTGTAAGGTTTCTCTCCGGTGTGAACTCTCATGTGCACATTAAGGATTCCTTTATGTGCAAAACTCTTCCCACACTGAGTGCATGTGTACGGTTTTTCTCCAGTGTGAACTTTTAGGTGATCCTTAAGGTAATGTTTACCAATGAAACTCTTCTCACACTGAGGGCACGTGAACGGCTTCTCTCCAGTGTGAGTTCTCATGTGAATATTGAGTCTTCCTTGACGTGTGAAACTCTTTCCACACTCACGGCACGAATAAGGTTTCTCTCCGGTGTGAGAACGCATGTGCGTGTCAAGGTGTCCTCTTTGTGAGAAAATCCTCCCACACTCAGTGCATGTGTACGGTTTCTCTCCAGTATGAATTTTCAGGTGATTCTTAAGATATAGTTTAATACTGAAACTCTTTCCACATTGAGGGCACAGGAAAGGCTTCTCTCCAGTATGGACTCTCATGTGCACATTAAGGCTTCCTTGACGTGTGAAACTCTTTCCACACTCATGGCAGGAAAAAGGTTTCTCTCCGGTGTGAACATTCATATGCATTTCAAGCTGTTCTCTTTGTGAAAAACTCCTCCCACACTGAGGGCATTTGTATGGTTTTTGACCTTCCTGAACTAAACTCGTTCCACATTCATGGCCCGTGAAAGACATTTCTTCACTTGAAACATTATGAGGTTTCTGATGCATCTCCTCCACGTGACTTTCCTCTTTTAAGTCTAAAAATAAACACAGTATATAGTCAAAAATCAATCATATTGTGACAAATGTAAAGCAAAAAAGAAATGGAAGGGAACAAATTTTAGCTTTTTGCAGAAAACAAGACCTTAAGTATCACTTTTACATGCTTAGAGTAAAATATTTTGTGTTTATACAATTCGTAAATTAGTCTCCTCCGCATCACCCTATTGCTCCATTTTGGAGAGTATCACATACGTAAACATACATTGCATATGTTGTTTATGTATGTGATACTCTCCAAAATGGTGCTATAGGGTGGAGACTAATTGTTGAATAAATTCATTATTTTTGTTTTCTTGGTGCACAAAAAGTATTCTCGTAGCTTCGTAAAATTACGGTTGAACCACTGATGTCACATGGATTATTTTAACGAACTTCTTGCTACGTTTCTGAGCCTTGATCGTGTAAGGATCCTTGCTGTCTATGGGAGGGTCAGAGAGCTCTCGGAATGCATCTAAAATATCTTAATTTGTGTTCCGAAGATGAATGGAGGCTGTTTAGAACAACATGAGGGTGAGTAATTAATTACAGAATTTTCATTTTTGGGTGAACTATCCCTTTAAGTAGCAGATTTTGACGCTGGAAGTAAATTAACCGTCAAGTTATAACAGTTATGAAAAACATACTTCTCTTGGATTTAACTGTAGCATAAGCTACATTCATACATTTATATTTGCATTTATAGCCTTCAATTTGCACACTGTTGAGGGACAAAATTAGACTGGATGAGAAATCAAGTTTTCCCCCAAAATACAAGCAAGAAATAAATGGCATATAATAAAACTAGTAGGGCTATGCAATTAATCGAATTTCTAATCGCGATTACCATTTGGATGCCACAATTACGTAATCGTTCAAAGTCCACTTATGTTATTCTGCGTGCTTAAGATGCGTTTTTTTCTTTCTACATGTTATCTTAAGGGGTTTTCCATTGTTTTAATTTTAGTTTTAGTATAGCATTATAATACCATTCATATTTTTACTTTTTTTATAATTTAAAGAAGAAACCAATCCGATGTATAGTTGACATTTTAGGCTTAATACTATGGAAAAGCACAACATTTTTCAGTTAGTGTTTTCAGCTTGTTTATTTTCATATAAAAATACGGCATGCAGTTGCATCAAACAATGGTATAAACATCATTCAATGTAAATTGTGATAATCGTAATTAACAAATCGCAATTACAATTTCAAGGGAATAATCGACAATTATGATTTTTGTCATAATCGCGCAGCCCTAAAAACTAGCATTAATTACAGCCCTTAATAATTTATATATCATGGTTAAAAGCCAGACTTTTGCACACAGATAACAAACAACAATAAAAAAAAAGATGACTTTGAAACCATCTTTCTTGTAACAGGTATTGACAAGGCAGACAAATATACTAAAAATTTACAAAAAGTTAAAAGGAAATTACCTGATGGAATAAAAACATCATCGTCATCATCATCGCTCTGTTCTTCTTCAGCTGTGGTTTCTCTTTTCATCTTCGTTAGGTTCCTGCAGTACTCCAGCTT